ATTATCAAGAGAAATCTTAGCATCATTGATCTAATTCTATCAATGAATCGAAGAATTAATAGAGATTAGGATTAACTTGGAAAATTTTTTTATTTTATGAATTTTAAATGTTTAGAAAAAACTATATGTTTAATAATTATAATATTATTTGATAAAAGTGAATAAATATAAGAAAAATAAAATTTAGACTTAAATGATAATGAAATTATAGAAGAAAATTAATATATTCATGGGATATTGTTGGAGGGTTGATTATATAAAAATGTTGATTGAAGTTTGAGTTTTATTAAGTTATGCATTATTAAGTTGAGCAATTTATGTTAGATGGAACAAGATATAATTTCTTTTCATCTAATATATTGTAGCTTTTGTTTTGACTTTTAGAATCGATCCTTTAAATATATTCTACAAATATCTATAGTATATTAATTTCGAAATAATAACAAAATTTAGAAAAAAAATTTGATATAAGAAGAAAAAAAAATGAATTCCAAATTTTCGATGTTAGATATAGTTAATCAATATTTAATTATTTTAGATATAGTTTATAAAAAATTGTATATCAATCCCTATATATTATATTTTATATTCTACAATTATAGTCTATTGTTTAAATAAAAAATTGTAAATTAAACATAAAAATTTTATGTAAAATAATCAAGAGATCGAATATTTTTTCAGAAATCAATTATATATTGTTTTTTTTTCTATTAGAAGCATGACTGTGCAATCGATATCTTTGAAAATTTATACTTTAAATATAAAAAATATGAAAATAATTATACATAAAATCAACATTTTTCAAATGTCAGCATTATTTCTGAATTTATTTTTGTTATAAATCTTAATTTCATTTTTGTAATCTGAAATTAAATATTTAACACAAAAGAGACAATAATGCATAGTGGAATATTTTTCATTCATATATAGTTAAAATATTTAAATAACTTGAAGCAATTCGTAATACGTTATTTGTTTCATTTTGTAAACATATGTATGACTAACATATGTTTAATATACAAATAGAAAAAACATATAGACGTTGGTTTATTGACTTTAATTCGTTTAAAGCGATAGCAATTTACATTAACAATTACAAGTGTTAATATATTTGTGCGACACCTTTGAGGAATCGATTCTAGAAACTAAAACAAAGAAAAAAGTTCATAAAAGTTAATCAAATGTCGAAACTTATTTATTAAGTCATAAGCACTTTAAGATTGCGTTAAATAGAATGAAATGGAGACAAAACAAGATGATGTGACAATATAATCAAGACAAGATTATTTGTCTATCTCTGTCCAATCAATATATTAATACGTTGTATGTAAAATTTTTATGCAATTATTGTCTTTTCCTCTTGCAATTTTGTGCCCCAAAGAGTTAAGTACCAGAAAAAGTTCGTGCGAATTTACAATACAATTTTTTAATTTTCTTTTGAAATTCTTCAAAATTATATTATATAATATAAATTTATGGATATAATTAAAGATCTTGAGTTTCATTTCGCAAAAAAAAAAATTAATCATAATTTTAATCTCACTATCGTGAATTGAACTGTTCTTTCGACAAAAAGATCGAATATAGATAAAAATGAGTTATGATCAAAGAGGCTATATTTCCACGAACACTACAAATAATTTTTGTATCTATTGCTCAATTTCCAAGTTTAAATTATTTATAAAGGTATAAACGCATAAATTTTCTTTTCGCTCACAATCTTTATCCTTACGTAAATAATGGATAAATAGAAGCAATATTTCATAAAATCTACTATCTTTATATACGTATTAGATTTACAAATTACCCATATAAGATTCATTTTCAATTTGAGTGCTGGCAATAAAATCGTACGAAGTTTTTCCGGTACCTAATAGTTTCCTGTTTTTCTTCACCGATTCTGCCGCCGATCGAACGTTCATTTCTTTACAGTAATCGCCTTTCTGATCTCTCCTTTGTCGTTGAACGTCAATGTGTTCAACAAACGGTACACCACTTGGCAGATTTACCTGTTGATCTGTTCGATCGTTCCGGTTTTGGGCCTCATTACGGCTAGCACATTGCCCCAAAGTCCGAGATATCTTGTGAATATTGGTAAAACCGATGAAGCTTTGAAGTTACTCAGGACAATGTACTCCATGAATAAAAAGAAGCCTGCCAACACGTTTCCGGTGAGATTCGAATTTTCCTTTCTATTAAAGATAAAATAAAGATCAGAATTTCAAAATTTAAAAAATTTCGAGTTTTTGAGGTTTGAAACAATTTATTGTTTTTATAATTCGGATAAAGAATTATTTATATATTTTAAATGAGTTAAAGAAATGTAACGATATGAATTTACAGTGAGAATGTTATATTTTTATCATTTAATTCATTTTTGAAAAATGAATGAATATCGAATTAGAATCTTTTAATAAGAATCATAATGAAAAATTAAATAAAATTAATAAAAAAAAGGAATAATCGATTCTCAAAATTGGGGCACAAATAAATAAAACTTTTAATTTAATTTTTATTAAAAAATGGCAGAAAGTAAATCAAAAATCGTGATGGTGAAGTAAATCAGAAGAACTACTTACTGCTAAAGAAAATAAATCATGCATTAAAAAATTTTTGGACAATAATGGATTTTTGAATAAATATCGAAGAATTTTTTTTCATTCGAAAAAAATATGATCAATATTGAATTCGAATATAAATACGAACGAAATATAGAGACAAAGAGTAAAGATTTTATTGTATTTTTATTTAATTAATAACAATTTAATTATATTTATATTTATATTTTAATCTCATTTTAATTGATAATGATTAATCCATTACAATCAATATATATACATATAAATAGAAGAAGATAAAATAAATAAAATATTTTCATACCAAAAAAGATGGATAATGTTATTATTGATTGCTTTTTGAACGTAAATTCAAAATTTCTTATGATTAATTTTAAATAAAATAAATATTTTTTTAAAAGAAAAAAAGTTTCGACTTTCAAAATCTTCGAGATCTCATAAAGTTCCGAATTTGAAAATCAAATTTTGATTCATCTTTGTTTTTTACATTACCTGTTATAAAACAAGTGCACAATGCACAACATAGTGTGATATACATCAGAACATTATACGTTGTCATCGCGTTTACGACAGAATCAAACCTGGTGACAGAATACGTTATTAACTACAGGAAATTAGAATGATATATATGTCTTAAACTAAGAGAACATGAAGTAATATTGGCAAGAATAGAGAATTATTTTTAGTGATATAGATATAAATTGTAAAATAAATAAATGAAAACTTAAATCATAATAATTAATGAATTTAAAAATAAATTAATAATTCAAATAAATAAATAGAAATAAAAAGAGAATACATTGAATATAAAAAAAGAGAAAAATTCAAGTGATAATAATTTTATAGTTAATATAATTTTAATCTTTTCAAGATCAAAGTTTTTAAGTATAAGAATTTTTTTTTTATAAATTAAATTGATGATAGAAACATATTTTTTTATGATGTAGAAAGAAGATATAATATATTAAAATTTTAAATCGATTTCAAAAAAATTATTATTTATTTAATAATTATATTCCATATATACATATAGCTAGTATTGATAGATATATAGCTACTATTGAAACGTTAGCAAGTAATTAATATATTAAAAACAATACAAACTGTTGAAACAATAATTTGATATATCTTTTTAATTAAACAAAGTTTTAAAATTTTGTAAAACATTCTTTAATTTTCTATATCTAACTGTATCTAACATTTTTTTTTTTCTATTAATTCATGTAGCTAATAGTATTCTTTGCAATTAGCTTAAATTTTATAATCATTTGTGGTTAAGTTAAATCAACAATAATTTTAATATTTATTTTTATAGCTGTTCTCATAAATGAAATACGATGTTTTGAAAAAATAATAAGTTAAATTGGAATAATAATAAATTAATTGAAATTAAAAAGATTGAAACAATCATATATAATATATACAATAAATATTTAGTATATTAGTAATTTATAAAAATTATTTTTAATGTAATATTAATTCGTTATTCTTTCAAAAGATAATTAAGTATCATGTTTCATTTATAATAGTTAACAAATGATGATTAAAAATGATCTCTGGCTAAGAACTACAGGTCATAAAATTTCAACTTAATAATAGAGAACAATATCAGTTACAATGGCATACAAAAAATTTCTGCACTGTTATACAATTCAATATTACAAAACAAAAAACATCTTTACAAACTTCTTGTTCATATTTCGTAAATAATTGGTAAAATAAAATAAACTTTAATAAATTCCAACAATGTTTATATTTATGATAATTCAGAAAATGTTCGTAAAAAGGTTGATCTTTTTAAAAATTATTTTTAATTTTTTTCTAAAAAATGCAATTTAATTAATTTATATTAAATAAATATAATCCATAATTTCAATTTTTCATTTTCAATTATTTTAAAATTTTTATATTTTCCTATGAAATGTACAGTATTTACATAATAAAATGATTATCATATTAATTGAATTAAATTAAAAGAGATATAATGTTATAATAGAATATTTAAATCTGAATATTTTAATTCTTATAATACAGAATGTTAATATATTTAATATATTTAAGAGTTATATAATTAATATGTAATTAATTAATCGATTAATTATTACATGGTAATTAATCGATATTTTTGAAAAATTAATTTTAGAAAGCAAAATAAATATAAAAGTTGATAATAATAAAAATATCGATTAAGGCTTATTCATCGAATTATTTTCATTGAGTACATTGAAGATAGAGTTGTCTCAATCTATCATCTATAATCAATTGCTTATAATTTAATAAATAAACCTCAATAATCTATCTTTACATATCAACTTTTTTATTTATCTCAACTTTTAAAATCGATACTCACACACAAATATACCACGAATATTTCAATAATTACATGACAAAATCTTATAAAAGCCATATAAAAGTTTTTTCAATTTTCGATATCTTTCGTATTTTTATATCTTATATAATAAGTTTCCAGAATAAGTATCGAACATAGTAATTAATTTCAGAAATTCCTACTCAGCTTTACTCCCTTCGTTTGCCTCTTTTTTTTCCCCTTTTCAGATTAAAGCATTGCTCGTATGGGAGAACACACCGCTATCTCGTCACTCCTTGTTCAAAGCGAATTCCGAAAAAATACGGCTCGCCTATTACAACACTAAACTTTTATTCACCTCCCCGTATTTGCGCGCCGTTACTTTCCTCAATTTTCTTCAATTCGGTAGCATGTTGGGGTAAGTTTCTCGACGCCAAATCCCGCATCTCTCGGGATAAATACGTCCAATCTCTCTTCGCTCAGATTCAACACTATGAGACTCTGGGTACCGCATCTATTCATCATCCTGAATAATTTCGATGACGAGAGATGGACCAAAGATAGAGCGCCGACTATGCGCGAAATGTTAGATCGTCGTATGTCGGTGCCGGCCAAGAACTATTTAAATTGCCCAGATTTCGATAGCATCTGCTTAACGGTGAGAGAAAAGTCAATTTTCGAGTTTGAAATTGCCATGTAAAAATTTTTCTGTAATTAAAATATTTATTTTTCAGTGGAAAATCAATGCTGTGATATATCAAAATTCCGCCATTATTGCATTGTCGGCTGTTACATTCTCGTTTCTCGTTGGAACTATAACCACTTCGAAATTTAGAAAGAAAGCAATCATGCGTAAGGCTTTAATATTTTCATTGATCACTTCATTTGTTATTCATGCATTGTCAATTTATGATACGAAATTGGAAAAAATTTATTTCGAATGATAATTTAAAGATAATTATTTTAAATAACTTTGATTGATATTTGAAAAATTTATTTCTATTAATTTCGAAAGATATTAATTCGATAAATATTAATGATGAATAAAAAATTTTCGATATTATATTGAATGCTGCTTATCTAAATTTTAATAATGTAACAATCTTCACTATAATAATATGTGGAATAGTGATGATTATATTTATAGAATGTTCTGCATACATACATATATCAAAAATCTATAAAAAATCTAATCATTCGTTCTCAAAAAATTAAACAAATTTGATTTATTAAGTGCTAAATAAAATGTTAAAGTACGAACAAAAAAAAAGTAATTTTGTAAAAGCATTTGATGTGCATGTTTCAAATAGGATTTGATTAAGTAAAATTGAGTTTTTAATAGAAGACTGAAAGATTTTTCATGGAAATAATTGAAGATTTTATATGGAATATTCTGTTGATATTGAGATTGATTATTAGACATTTAATGACAATTTCTATATAATATAAGACAGTTATATTATTGTATTGAATAAATGGAATTCAATATATGTATAATACTGAAATTATATATATTATATTTTATTATATATTTATAAATTATATATATATATATATATATATATATATATATATTATTCTTTATCTTGAAAAGAATAAT